GAAGGATATGATCAGTTGTCTCCCCGTTGCCAAGACAAAGAGGACAGACATGAGGGGAGATGCATAATCTGCCTTTAAACTTTTTCTGAAGCAACTAGTAGGTGTTTATTCTTTTTAAACAAGCTTCCCACACAAAGAAAGAGACTCTATGGGGATGTGTGATCTCTAGACTTTTTTAGCCGGAAAAGGAGGCTTTTGATCTTCTGACACTAGATCCTTGAGAAAGGAGTTAGAGGAGAACTTGCCAGCAGGATTAGGTTTCCAGATTCTTTGGTCAGGGGTAGCAAAAGAGATGTAAACCTCATTAACAGAGTTTAGCAAACTAGCTATATCAGCAATTTCTATTTCTCTTAAAGGCCTTTTGAGGTTTAGGTTCCAAGTTGTTCATGAGGGTGAGGGGTTGAGGCTAGAGGCTACCGTGGCTTCTTTGGATTGGAACAGGTTAAAGATTCCAAGTTGTTCCTGACTAGGCTGGTAGTATTGACGATAGAGGATCTACATTGGGTTATTGTGCTTTGGTTGCAGGGAACATTGTGTCTTGGAGAAGTAAGAAGCAGTTAGTAGTAGCCGGATCTTTAACTGAGGCCGAGCGTAAGGCAATGGTACATGGAGTTTTAGAGTTTTTATGGCTTAGGTCACTTCTAGAGGAGATGGGCATTGCACATGATAAGCCCTTTATGTTGTACTATGATAACTAGGCTGCAATTAGCACAATTCATAATCTAGTTCATCATGGTAGGACAAAGCATATTAAAGTTGACAGGGATTTTATAAGAGAAAGGATGGCTTCTAGAGATGTTTGTTTTCCTTCCATTGCCTTGGAGCAACAGTTAGCAGATGTTTTGACCAAGGGTGTCCCTAAGCAAAGTTAAGCACTATGTAAGCAAGTTGGGCATGATTGATATCTCTGCTCATATTGAGGGGGAGTGTGGAGATGATGGGATGAATCATGAATGGGCCTTATTTCTTTTTTATTTAGTTCTATTTATGTTTTTTGTTTTTTGAGTAGTGGCCTTAGTTATGGGCCTGTTTTCTGCTTTTTTTATTATTGTTTTAGTGTTGTCCGCCCTTTTAAGGGTATTAATGTAATTGTACTCAGATTACAACTAAAGAATAAAAGATATCTTTAGGGGCTGGAGAGAGGGTCGAACTACTCTCTTCCTTCCTCCCTTTTCTTCCATCTTCATGTGGGATCTACAACTATACTCGTGTTGCATTTGCCTTTGACAACTAACCACTGATTAGGTTGATCAGTCAATTAATGATTTGTCAATGTACTCAACCACAAAATCATTTTATATCTTTATTTGTTTGTTTGCATAGGACGACCTAGTGGGGAAGCCATTCGTGCAATTAAAATTGGTAAGTTGGGGGTTGATTTGGGTTGTAAAAATAATTTCGAGTTGTTTCAGAAAATAATCAAGTTGAGTTACAGAATTCATTGGTCAAAGTACCTATTTGGTAGGGATAAGAGTGTTAGTGTGAGGCAACATTATTCGGGGCTGGAAATAACAGAATATGGTGCTTATTTTAGAGGTTTTGTTCAGATTAAAAGGTGGTTTATGTGGAGTTTAGCCTAGCAAATGGTTTAAGAGGATTACAAAAGGAAGAAATTTAAGGAGGAACAAAGAGTTCTCAAGGTTTGGAGATGACCAAGATGAGAGTTTATTGGCTTTCTCTCCTTCATCAAAAGATTTCAGAGACAAGATGAAAGAGGTGGAGGAATTGGAGATAACTACAAATGATATTTTTGTAGAGAACACTGCTGTGGACCACACTGATGTGGTCCCCATAGTGTTCGTATGGCAGCAATGTTTCTGTTAGATATGACAGTGTTAGTTGGTAGTTATTTCAGTTACTTATTTCAGCTTTATTATTAGTTATTTCTTATTCTATTTGCCATGTAAGCAATAAGGGCAATTCAACCCTTTTACAGTTATATAAATACTAAGAGTGGGTCGGCAGAAATCATAACCTTCCCTCTCTTTTTCTGAAACTCTCTGTGTACTCCTTCTCTTCCTCTCTTCTCTTCTTCTTCTCATCACTTTTTTTCATCCTTTTTTCTTTTAAATTCAAGACTGATTGTAGTCTAGATCGACTACTTGGTATTAGAGCCGACCTAGGATCTCTTATGCTAGTCTGATTAGGCCGACTGCATGAGAACCTCCTAGGTTTGGAAGTTTTTCAACATGGAAGGAGGATCGGCTGATTCTTGGAGGTTACTGGTAGTGTGCGGCTGCTACTAAAGAGATTGTAGAAGTCTGGGAAAGTTCCAATAGTAAGGAAGAATCAGAAGAAGCTTCGGATCCTTAAGATTAGGGTTTTACATCAACCAGAAGGTGGCGGCCAGAGATTTTTTCATAAAGTAAGCTTTTTTCTTGTGATTGGCTTTAGAAAAGATCATCTTGGTTTAGTCTGAGAGGTGCGGCTGGAAAATCTTTGTGTTTTCTTTAGGGTTTTGAGGGAAAACCCTAAAATTCAGAACTATTATTTGTTTCAGATCAGAATTTGAAATGGTTTCATTCAGAATTTTGTTTTCTGTGTTCTTTGGAAGACCTAGGCCGGTTGTTATCAGTTGTTTGGGTGCTGTTTCTCCTATTACAGTAATTAAAAARGGGTTTTTTATTAATTCTTGATCAAGAATGGAGTTCAAGAGTCAAGGGGAAGGTGTTTTTGGGACTAGAAATTCTGGTAACATGTCTGAGAATGCCTTTCAGATTATAGCAGTTAAGTTTGATGGATCAAACTACCTAGAATGGACTCAATCGGCCATGATGGCCGTTGGGGGTAGGGGAAAACTGAGCTACTTGTTGGGAGATGTGAAAGAACCAAGTAAGGAGGACCAGACTTATACCAAATGGGTTCAAGAGAACTATTTGGTTATGACATGGCTGTGCAACTCTATGCAGCCACATATCAGCTGGAACTATTTGTGGGCGAAAACAGCTAAGGAAATATGGGATGTCATGAAAGAGACCTACTCCCAACCCCTTAATGTTGCTAGGGCTGATGAACTGAAATGTGAGGTTAACAACTTTAAGCAAGGAGAGAAACCAGTCTCGGTTTACTTCTCTACACTGAAATCTTTGTGGCATGAAATTGTCCACCTAGAAACACTTGAGTGGGAAAGCCAGAAGGATGCACAAACTCATAGAAAGCAGGTTGAGACTAATAGGGTTTTTGAGTTCCTATGGTCTGAATCCTGAGTATGATATCGTGAGACAGCAACTACTGACAAGAGACAGTGTGACCCTATCACAAGCCTACTCCTTAGTGCATAGTGAAGAGACTAGGAGAAAGGTTATGATGCAGCATCAGCCCTTCCCACCAGCCTTGGAAGCAGTCAAACCTAAGTCTGGGGGTGATACGGAAAGGGATATAAAGAAGGAAGACAAGGCGGGATCTAGTATGTGAACATTGCAAGAAACCCAAGCATACTAAAGACACCTATTGGAAGCTGCACCCTCATTTAGTCCCAGCAAAACTCAGGAACAAAAGGGGTAATGCTAATATGGCTGCTAATACTAATTGTACCTCATCGGGCACAAAAGGCACACCTCTGCCTTGACTCAGTTAGAAAAGGAAGTTGGCAATTCAGCTCAATCATCTCAGCCGCCATCAGCTCCAGCTCCCACATCAGCTTTTGCTCATTCAGGTACTTGGGCCTCAGCTTATCATGCTTCAGCTCCAGGTAACACTGAACATTGTTGGGTAATAGACTCAGGTGCATCTGACCATATGACTGGCTTGCCATCACTGTTCACTACCTATCACTTATCTTCTGGCAGAGATAAAGTGTCCATTGCTGATGGTTCCCTTGTTCCAATTTCTAGCAAGGGAGACATCAAGTTGTCTAATACCATCTTCTTATCTTCGGTTCTGCATGTTTAAGCTTAATACTAACTTGCTTTCAGTCAGTAGCATTACAAAACATCAGAATTGTTCAGTATCCTTTTTCCCTGACTGATGTGTTTTTCAGGACTTGGAGACAAGGAATGTGATTGCGATTGGCCGTGAGACGAATGGGATCTATCTGCTTGGAGAGAAAGAGAGAGAGAAAGGAGAAGAAGAGAAGAGAAGAAAGGGAGAGAAAGTTCTGGTTCGAATGAGAGAAAAGTCACCTCTCCCATTCGGCCAGATTTGTTTTATATTACTAATACTGTGGGAAAGACACATGTGCCCCTACTTAAGTGAGGGCACTAGATCTAACATAATCTTACACATCAGCAACTTAAACATAAGCATAAAGACAGAAATACCCCTATATACTCGACACTAACACAGATTTTGAGCTGTTTTTATAGTAGTTGGTCTTCTCACTGTTCTTTATGTTGAATTGCATGGTCATTATGATGGGTTTTTCTCTTTAAAGGAATTATGTGTGTTGTAGAAGTTTTTTCTATCTGATGGTAACTCTTCTTTCCAAGGTTATATCTTTTCACTTTGTCTAGTGTTCTCTTTTTCTGTTTAATGAATTATTATTTTATTATAAAAAGGGTTTTATCTAGTCCATGTTGATTACTAGTGTAAGCTATTTGGGCATGACCGATGTATATGCATAGCTTAAGGAGTTATGTTTTCCATTTTTTATCTTTTATTATGTCTAGCCACATGTGTTATGTTGGCCAGGGGTATGTTTGTCATTTTGTCTTATTTGTAACTGACACAATAAACGATAGAAGGGGGAAACAGATGACACCATATTGTCTCTTCTCTCCAAGTTTTCTCTCTTCTTGTTTCTCTTAGCATCTTTTCCTTTGTTTTTCTTCTGCTACAATACGTATAAATCAGATTGCTTTTCATTTTGTGTAGACAAATACTGTAAAGCTTTTATGAAATGTTATAAAGTTATGAAAGTCTCTAGCTCAACTCATTTTGTAACTTTGTGATTAGAATACAGCTTTTGAATCACATAGTGAAATCTATATACCTCCTTTCTTTTTTAACTTATTGTGAAAATGTCACAAACTTCCATGTTTCACATTTGTGTCTTTCTGCAGGTGAGTGGTGCATGGCTTCTTTACAAGTCAAATACAATGGAAGATGGATTTCTTTCAGCAACACTTAAGGGTTTCACTGTAGTTGATGATCGAATGGGAACTAAGCAAGAGTTTAGGCTCGCAATTGACAGACCCAAGATTACTGGGTATAGTCCTCTTCAATATTCTACTGATGACAAGAAAAGAAACGTGGTTGATTCTGATAAGCATGCCTTAAAATCTGATGATGTAAAACCTATTCCTACCATGCTTATTCTTGATGCCAAGTTTAGTCAGTTGGGGACCTATGTCTCTGTATGTGTCCAAAGACCACAGTTGCTTGTTGCGCTTGATTTCTTACTTGCTGTTGTTGAGTTTTTTGTTCCAACAGTCCGTCGTATGCTATCAAATGAAGAGGATGAGAATCCTCTAAATGTAATTAGTGCAATCATTTTGAATCAACCAACTTTTAGTCAGCCATCTGCTGATTTCTCTCTCTCACCTCGGAGGCCACTGATTATTGATGATGAAAAATTTGACCATTTTATATATGATGGGAAAGGTGGAAATTTATATTTACAGGATAACCAGGGATTCAATCTCTCAAGTCCTAGCACAGCAGCTTTAATTTATGTGGGCAATGGAAAAAAATTGCAATTTAAAAATGTCTTTATCAAGGTATTATTTTGTATCTCTCTGGCTTTTATCTAGAAATATTAAAGATCATCAAATGAATATCATATTTATGTTCTGCTATACTGTTTTTGCAGAATGGGCAGTTTTTGGATTCTTGTATTGTTCTGGGGTCCAATAGTAGCTATTCAGCTTCTGAGGATGATCAAGTATTCTTGGAGAGATGGAAAGATAGTTCTTCTGAAAACTCTTCAGAGGGAAGGACAAATGGTGTATCAGCTCAGAGCATTGTAGCAGATGACTCTACAGAGTTTATTATTGAGTTACAGGTGAAGTTATGACTTCTAAGCATAGTAGACGTCTCTTAGGTGAATTCCTTCTCTCACTTTGTTTCCATATTCTATATGTTACTGAGTGGTAAGTAGCTTGAACATATTGTTATTTTTTGGCAACATGTCGGAACTTTCTTATAGTTTAGGATGGGCATTATATGGTTAGGGCAAAATCTATGGTGCATGAACTGCACTGTGAAGCAAAAAACTTGAAGCAGTGATAAAGTCCTTAATGGTAAGTACACCTTGTGTGAATCAATGAAAAGTAAATAGACCATATCTTTTAATTAATTAGTTGAAATTTTGATTTAAAGTGCAACAATTATTTGAAATGCACCCTAGCTGGACTAAATGGTTAGAAATGTGATGCATATTGTAATACTTGCATTTGGGGGAATCAAAACTATAGGGGAAAATAGTGCAAAAGGCCCAAGATCAGAAATATATCTAAAAGTGTGCAATCTATGCATGATGAATAGCCAATTTTCAACCAGTTGCAAAATGAATTTCAGCCATCTAATTTAAACAAAATTGCCTTTAGGCCAGTGGGTCTATTAATAACCCCTTAAGTCCCAGGTCAATTGGATGCTGATAAGGTGCTTTACAAGGAGAGTTCTAGGTGATCCCGTTAATCCAGAAATATTGTCAAACTTGAGTCAAAATCAAATGTTGATTTTGACTAAAGGGATCCACTAGGATATGTTGTACAAACCTTAAAACCTACAAATTCTAGCAATGTGATTTTTTTCCTCCTCTTGGGGAGGTTCAAAAAACTTGTGCTACAGTAGCTCATTAGAAGGAAAATGTTCAGTCAGATCCCAGATGAGGGAATTGTGACAGGAAGATAATTTTGGTGGCTCGTCAATTTCTTTCAGCAATTTTCACAAGGCAGGCCTGTACAGGAGGGTTATCATCTGATGATGCATTTTGATTCATAGGAGCGACTTTTAAGGAAATCATGGAAGAATCCAAGATATTAGGAGGTAGAGTTTACAAGAATTTTTGTTGGTTGCCTCACTTTCAGCTGTCTGTTGAACCTTGTGTGTGCTGGTGTAGATGGGTTTTCCTCTTCTACCATATAATCTTGTTAATGAAACTACTTAGAAAAACAGCACTGGTTTGTGAAATTTTATTAGTAAGGATTTAAACTCGGAAGGTAGGGATTTTGACAATCCATTCAATATGAAAATGTTCTGCATGATTGTAATAGTGGCAAATTGCTAGGTTATTGAGTACTTGTGGTTTAAGAGCATTAGTAGCAGAAAGAACAAGAAAGACAAAGAATCATGAGGAAGAGGGAGACCATATGATCAAGGACACTGCAATGTGGGTAAGGAGACATTCTATGATGATCAGGGGATGATAAAGATCTCAATGATTCTGTTAAAGACCTTCAACAACAGATCACACAGCAATAGGTAGATGATGATAATGCAAATCATGAACAGTCATCTCACATGAAGAAGGGGAGAGTGTACTATTAAAGAATTGAAATGATCAAGAGAATTTATAAGGGGAAGATGTGGTGGTGAACAAAAGAACTGGTGTTGAAGACTATTGAAACAATGATAACAGTTGGAAACTAGTGTTGTAAATCTAAGGTTTGTATGAGAAAGAAAGAGAGAAAGGAGAAGAAGAAGAGGAATGTGTCGAGTGGTGTGTTTTCTTTTTATTACTGTTCACACCCTCAAAAGGCACTTTATATTTTGAAACAAGAAATTACAAAGAGGCCCCTACTTGGGTGCCTAAATACAAAAAGAGTACAAAGGGAAGAGGTAAAGACTAAAAACACCCTTATCTAAACTTTGTCAACACTCCCCCTCAAGCTGAGCATATATGTCAATCATGCCCAACTTGGCAAGGTTCTTAGCAAACTTTGGGTGGTAAACACCTTTAGTGAGGCAATCGGCTAGTTGTTCTTCCAATCTTACAAAAGAAAGGCAAATCTCTCCACTAGCAATTTTTTTCTCTAATAAAGTGTCTGTCCACCTCAATATGCTTTGTACGATCATGTTGAGCAGGATTGTGGGCAATGTTTATGATTGCTTGATTGTCACAATATAGTGTCATTGGGATATCTGCTTGGATGCCAATCTTAGCCAATAAGGTCTTCAGCTAAGGTAGTTTAGACACTCCATGAGCCATTGACCTATATTCTGCCTCAACACTAGAACGAGCAACCACAAATTGTTTCTTACTTTTCCATGAAACCACATTGCCTTCGACTAATATAACTAGATGTTGATCTTCTATCATCAATGGACCCTGCCCAATCTGCATCTATGTAAGCCTCAATCTTTAGATGGTTGTGGTTGGAATACAACATCCCTTTACTAGGAGGAGGAGGAGGAGGAGAAGGAATACCATTGTTACAGGGAAGATAGGGAGGAGAAGGAGGAACAAAAGAGACAGGGACAGGAAGGCAGAAGGGAATCTGATGTTCACTTGCATTCTCCCCCTGAAGAGAAGGACAGGATGACTGGAAAAAAGAGGACTCCAAAAAGGTAACATCCTTAGAGACATATCTCTTGCCAAAAAGAGCATCAAAGCATCTATAGCTTTTCTGGACAGGAGAGTAACTGAGTAAGACGCATTTAACTAATTTAGGATCAAACGTATGCCGAGAAGAGGACTCATATCATGAACAAAACAAACACAACCAAAGATTTTAAGGGGGAGATTGAAAAAGGTTCGTTAGGAAAGAGAAGTTGATTAGGAGATTGAAGATTAAGGGTCCTTGAAGGAAGTTTGTTGATGAGATACACAGATGTCTCAATAGCATTACCCCAGAAACAGGTGGGAACATGAGTCTGGAACAATAAACCTCGAGCAACTTCAACCACATGCCTATTCTTCCTTTCAGCTACCCCATTTTATTGTGGAGTATGACTACATGAACTCTGGTGAATAATGCCCCCATCTTCATGAAATCTATGCAAATGATGTTCAAAATATTCCTTGGCATTGTCAGATCTTATTATCTTAACTCTTTTCTCAAACTGTGTCTCTACCATATTCATGAAGTTTTGAACCACCATAAGAACTTCATCTCAACTTTTCATCAAGTAGGGCCATGTATACTGACTGTAGTCATCAATGAAGAGGATGAAGTATTTATACCCACCCATGTAAGGGATAGCATATGGGCTCCAAACATCAGTGTGAATAAAATGAAAAGCAACATTACTTCTTTTACTACTCGCAAAATATGTGGTTCTACATTGTTTTGATAGATGACAAACTTCACATTCAAAGTTCAACTTTGACACTAAGTCAAATAAGTTTGGAAACACAAGTTTTATAGAATTGAAAGACATATGACCAAAACGACAATGCCATAATTTCAAAAGACTCATTTTTTCATTTGAACAAGACTCAATTTGGCTTGATAATCTATGCTCTAAAGGTCCATCAAAGAGGTAGACTCAATTAGCTTCATGCCCACTTCCGATCATCTTCCCTGTGTTTAGGTCTTGAAAAACACAATGGGTAGGAAAAAAGGTTACTGAGCAATTATGGGATTTTGTAAGAGAACTAATAAACAACAAACTTTTATGTAATTGGAGCACATGAAGAACCGATTCAAGAGAAAGGCTATGAGTGAGTTTGACTTCACCCAGACCCGAAACAGGGGTCTGAGATCCATCAACAACAGTAATCTTGCCCTTCCATGAGGTTAACTTATATGAGGTAAAAGGTGAAGGCATACCGTTCATATGGGCATTGGCCCCGGAGTCTACAATCCAAGGACTAAAAGATGTGGAACAAGCAAGTGCAGTACTTGTCTTGGCAATATGAACTAGATGGATCACTAAGTCCAGAACCAGATGAGGAGGATGTACCACCCTTTTCCAGCTATAGCAGTATATTATTGAGTCTGTCCATTGCATCAAAGGAGTCAGGAACATCAGATTTGGATGTTTTGCTATTTTATGCTTGAAAATCTACTAAAAATCTTCTAATATCAGGGCGAATTAAACTATATATGATTCATGTATTGCCACTGACACCTATACGAATTGTTGACGTCAACTGGCGGCGATCTAACGTCAGCAGCTCATCTTGTGAAAGAGAGTCAGCAAGAAAGGTATTCCCAAGTGCCTTTACCCGCTCTGATACCAATTTGGAAACTAGTGTTGTAAATCTAGGGTTTGTATGAGAAAGAAAGAAAGAAAGAGAGAAAGGAGAAGAAGAGGAATGTGTCGAGTAGTGTGCTTTTTTTGTTATTGTTCACACCCTCAAAAGACACTTTATATTTTGAAACAAGAAATTACAAAGAGACCCCTCTACTTGGGCACCCAAATACAAAAAGAGTACAAAGGGAAGAGGTAAAGATTAAAAACACCCTTGCCTAAACGTTCTCAACAATAACTATATATTAACACTGCATTTGGCATTCCTTATTTGAAGGATTTATCTCCTTTTTGCAATTAAAAACTCAATGTTCATAGAGGCTTTTTAACAGTAAAAGGGAAAGATAAGTCCTTAAAATAAGGAATGCCAAATGCAGCCTAAGACAAAGTAGATCAGAATGGATGATGTTGTGCAATTTTGAGGTAGGAGGAAGATCATCCTGAAAAAAAAAAAAAAAAACCTTTGACGGAATGAAAGGAGTGAATTTGTACAGGGTTTGCTAGAAGCATGGAGAGATGAGGGTTCAATGGCTTGGAGAAGCAGAGTATAGCAATCTAGACAATTTTAGGAGGGATTGGAGGGCAATCCTAGACAACTAAGAAGTAGAAGAAAAAGGTTTACAAGTTGAACCAAGAAGGAATCAAGATGAGAACAAGGGATAACTGAAAAGAAAAAAAAAACACTTCTTTTCAGGTAAAGAGGAAGAGAAGCATGCTAATGTTAGTTGTATGCCCTAAAACCAATTGTGTGACATTGTAGAGGGCCAATTTTGTACCATTCACATTTATTAATAAATGGGCATTTATGTCATTCATATTTGCAACCTTTAGTTTCATATGAATAGCACATAGTTTCTTTGTTAAGCAAACATATTCCTAAGCATGTTAGAACTTTTGAGATATGTTTTAACTAACACAAAGATCCTAAAATGGTTCCTGGTCATAGGACTATCAAGAGGGCTTCAATAGTCCAGATAGACTAGCACATATTATGCTTTCCTTATGGGGTAATGAATCTCAAGTCACTTATGTAGATACACTAAAGCAAATTTGCAGGTGCCTGTTTATAGGTTCACTAAACATGACCTATAATAGAATAGTTACATGGAGTCATTGGTCAATAATTGTTCTATCTCCTATTCATACAGATAATCCTCAAAACTGAGGCATCATGGATATCTTGTGCATGGGGCATTATGGTTTGATGGTGCAAATACTTATGTCCTAACCAAGGGATTTAAGTATGCACATATTTGGTATAGTTTCTCATACATGGAGGTATGTGAATGAATGGCGCAGAAATCTGTCACTCTTTATGAGGACAGAGAATGCCCTATGTGATTGAAGTTGATGAGACTTAGACCTTGGCCAAGGCAAGATGGCATAGGAAAAGAGTTCCAACTATCACCATATGAGTCATCATCAATTAAGTGGGACATATGAATGAGCCAGTAGGGTTCATCTTGTTCACCATGACCCTTTGCTCTCTCAAGACATTGTATGTTAGAAGGATTCGACTGTACGGAAACTGGAGGTGCAAAGGTTCAAACTGCTAAATTCAAGCTATTAGAGTAGCCGTGACATACGACTAGGTGTCACTTATGGTTTGTGGAACCCTTGTGAATAATGGTTGATTATTCACATTCAAGGGAGAAATAGAAGAGTTTTAGTTCAATTCAGCTAGAAGGGGTTCTATCTCGAAGGAGTTTGGCGTCATTTGCCACTGCCTGATAGTGTTGATCCTAAGAGGTCACACACATTAAGGGACAAAATGCAGACAAAGTATGGAGGAGGGTGTGCTCACTAAGAGGGGTCTTAGTAGAGGGACCTAATTGTAATAATTCGGGACCTGATTGTAGTTAGGAAGATTTATTGGATAAATCCTTTCCTAACTAGAAAAGGAGTGAAAACTACATAAGATATAGAAGGGGGCTTCCCTATGGTTACAAAATACACTCTACCTGCTAAACCCTAGCTACCAAAAGATTGCTAGCACAATCTTGGAGCCACCCAACCCTCTTTCTCCCTCTCCTCTTCTATTGGATCATGATCTACATAGAGAATTGGGAACTTTGACTGTTGCTGCTTCATGCGGATCAATCTTGGAGACCAAACACTTGTGTGGTTGCAGTTGAGATCAAATTTCTGAGGATCTGCTTCATCAAATTGAATCTGCATAATGGGTATGCAGTTTTGTGTCACAATTAGGGTTTTGTGCACCACCATGGGCTTGATCTTGGAACTTTAATTTTTAGTTTCTGCTTCATCAAGATAACAAGGATCCACTAGAATCTTCCAAATAATTTATCACTTATTCAGAAACCGAATTAAGAAGGGACTCTTTATGTGGTAAAGAACATACCGGTAGATTGTACAGGAAGGCAGGTTGGATCTTCATTTTGAAGGAAATCTATTACAACATCACCAATTGTTGTGATACCAAAGGTGAGTAATCCCGAGACCTCAAATGAGTTAACACCGATCAGTCTTTGCAATTGTTTAAAATTTTTACAGAAACTCTTAAGCAACAGAATGGGAAATTTTCTTTCTCAACTCATCTCAAAGGAGTAAAGGGCATTTGTAGAAGGGTGTAATATCTAAGACAGTTCTGTTTTGTTGAAGAAATGATATTGGGTATTTGGAAGAAATGCAAAGGCTTTAAATTAAACTAGACATATGTTTCTACCTTGCTCTTTGCCTTCTTTGTTTTAAATAAAATTTAGGGAGAATGACCGATACCCCCAGTGTCAGAATTTGTAGGTTCAATGTACAGTCGGGGTAGGTGCCAGCTCGAAATTGATGCCAATTCACGGGCGGGCGTGGGTGCATAGAGTGTGGGTATTGGTCCATTTGAATGTTTATAGCCCTGCAGTGTAAATTAGAAATCTGCATTGGGCAAATCCGTACTTTTCTGTAAAATTTATAGCAACTTCTGGAGTTTTGAATCCAAGGAGCCAGGATATGATGCCCTTATGGGAGAAGTTGGTGCAATGATGTTTTGATTCATAGTTATTTTATATTTGTTGTAGTATTACAGTCATTTCTTGTTTAACAGTCGCAATGGTAAACTTCTATGCAGGCTATTGGTCCAGAACTTACATTTTATGACACATCAAAAGATGTTAGTGAATCATTAACACTCTCAAACAAATTTCTACATGCACAGTTGGATGCATTCTGCAGGTCATTTTCTCTTTAATTGTGTTTGCCTTCGATGAAAATCATGATGTCTTAGTGTTACCTTGTTTGCTGCAGGTCATTTTCTCTTTAATTGATTTTACTTCATGCCTTTATTGCTTCATTTGCTTGATATAATTGCATATTTTTGATTTACATAGTTTTTTTAAAGAGCCAATTTATCTATTCGACACTTACATTTTTTTATTTATTTACGTTTGTGGGGATAAGTCAAGAACATTACTAATTGCCAACTGATTGATGAATCAATCGAGGTTACTAATTGCCAACTGATTGATGAATCAATCGAGGGTATACCAATTATTTCATTAACTAGTTGGTTGTAATGTAAGACAATTAAGAGTACAAACTTGTTACATGTTCCTAATCTGGTGGCATAGGACAACTCAACAGTCAAGGATCTTTGGTTGGGTGCCTAACCTGAACACCATGACTTATCAAACAAGGCTTAAAGTGTTTGTTTTAGTAGAAATGTTTTTTTGGTAGTAAATAAAAAAGAAAAATTATTAATAGAAGAAAGTACATTAGGAGTTACTTTAAAAACTTTAAAATGGTGATGAGATGTCACAGAAACAAAAGTAAAAGTGCAACCAAACTTATACTTGTACATTAAATTATTATAATAAATGATATTCCTACATTTCCCACCCAATTCAAGTGATACCCAAAAGTTAACTCCAAATGATTCTCTTGGGATGCCTCTGAATTCTGTAAGTATTAGCACCCAGTCCAGCAACTTTGAGCCAACCCTCAAGCATGCCTTCATCCTATTATTTGCTTTTCCTTAGAATATTCTTCTGTTTTTTTCTATCTAAAGTTCCCAGCAAACAGCAAAAGGAATGCAACTACAGAAAATTTTAGCCTTCTTACTTCCTTGTACTGGTGGCCAGCAAGTAAAGATCTCTTTAGATGAACTTGGAGCCCACATCATTATGTCAAAAAGATGGAAGAAGACATTCCACATGAATTGTGAGAAACTGCATCTGTAGTTAAGATGAAACACAACCTCTTCTTTTTGTTAGGTTGAAGGTTTTTATGTATTGATGGTTCGGCTGATAAGAGTTCTTATTAGCCTGTATTTGAGTTTAAGTTGTTATGTACTGAGTCTGTGTTAATGGGCCTAAGTTTGTTTAGTGTTTTAAGTTGTTTGGGTGTCCCATCACTAATCAGGGGCATTCCAGTCATTTCCTGTAACATTGTACTGTGCCTCTAATATAAATAATAGTACTGTCGACTGGGTCATTCAGTTCGACATTCTCAGCATCTCTGTCTTCTCCTCTCTTCTACTGCTTCGGCTACAGCATTTCAGCTTTCACTTTTGATTCACAAGGAACAGACCTGCTAGCCAGCTGCATTCCTTTTATTTTGATGTGATTTTGAGTATGCTATCCAAAGAAGCCAACCAGGTGTAAGTCTCCGTTCTTGGAGGTATAAGGTGGTATTTGATTGCTCTGAATCAGGTTTGAAATCTGAAAAAACTTTCTTTTCAGAGGTTGGGTCCTGTTTGTGTTAGCTAACATCTGAACTAAATCTCTGAAAATTAATAAAAGGTCAGATTTGTAAGCGGCGGAGGCTCAAGCATAGAATGGTTTCAGATGTGTTTTAAATGGCTCATAATGACTAAAATGCCCTCCTTTTTAATATGATAGAGGTTTTGAAAAACAAAAAAGCATATTTTTGCTTTTTTAGGCTTTAGATGGTTAAAAAGAGCTTCTTTTGCTTTTCAGATTTCAGATTTATCAAATGTCAGATACGAGAAAGGATGCTTTGGTAATGAATAGATTGTTTCAAGATGGATTTTTTCTCCACTTAGAGTAAATTCTTGGCTCTAAAAATTATTATAATAGTACCCACTGTATACATTTTTGTTATATTATTATTTTATTAGGTTTTATTTAATATACAAGTTGTGATTTAAATGTGAATATGCTTCTTATTCAAAAAAAAAAAAAAAAACTCCAATAGGTGATTGTAGTGGTATAGTGGACCAGACCTGATATTCTTTATGTGTGGTCCCATAAGTTCAGTCTTTTTATTCTTTTTATTTCTTATTTATGCTTGCTTTCTTGTACTGTTATAGGTTGCAGGGCATTTTTGTCCTTTTACCTAATGTTATGTTAAACATATAAATAACACTGCCTTGGGCGGCAGTAAGTGATTTTCGCCCATTCCTCTCTTGCTCTTGCTCTATTCTCCTTTTTCTCTTCTCTTCTTCTCTCTTCTTCTTCCTATTGATTTCTGTTTTCTCTTCTACCTAGAAGTTCTGCTAACAGCAGTAACTTCAAGTTGGTATCAGAGCAGGTTTGGGTCTGCTCGTTAATCTCACGTAGGCTCTTCCCAGCCGGCTACATGAGATTTTAATAGGGCTGGAGTTTTAGTTCTGTTCGTGGCCTGATTCTTGGAGATTGGTGGAGTTTGAAACCTTGCCTAGGACGTTTCTGTTCTTGGAGTTTGCCCAGCAGTCAGGAAGAATCAGAGAAATTTTTTTTTGAGGTGAGATTTAGGGTTTAAATCTCAGATTGAAGGTGCCGCCCAGAAATTTCTGGGTAGTTTTTTAATTCTCCAGAATTTTATAACTGAAAGTAGGTTTTTCTGAAACCTTTGAGGGGTTCGGATACTTTTTGCAGTTTACTGGCGGCTATTCTTTTCTGAAAATTTCTGGACCAGGTAGTTGCTTGTCCTCTATTCTCTCATTTTTTTATTCAAAAGGGAGCCGAGTGTGTTCTTGTACTTTTTTGTGTTGGACTCAGCATGGTGTTCTTTGGGGGTGAACAGAAACCTGCTGGAGAGGGTTCTGAAAGGGCTGTTAGTATGACTGATAACAACCCTTTTCAGATTACCACAATCAGGTTTGATGGTTCTAACTGTTTGGAGTGGGCTCAATCTGCCATGATGGCAATTGGAGGAAGGGGAAAGTTAGGCTATGTGACTGGAGACACTAAGGAACCAACCAAGGATGACCCTTCCTATGCCAATTGGGTTCAAGAAAATTATCTTGTAATGACATGGTTGTGCAACTCGATGCAGCCCCATATTAGTAGAAATTACCTTTGGGTAAAGACAGCCAAGGATATTTGGGACAATATGAAAGAGACTTATTCCTAGCCATTTGATGTGGCTATGGCTTATGATTTGAAAATTGAAGTAAACAATATGAAGCAGGGGGAGAGACCCGTATCAATTTATTACTCTACTCTAAAATCCCTATGGCACGAGATAGATCATCTTGAAACAATTGAGTAGGATAGTAATAAGGATGCAACAACCTTTAACAAGTTGGTACAGTCCGAGAATTCATCTGAGTGGGTGATCATAGTGACAGGATCAGCCCCTTTGTCGGACAAAGTGAATGATCGGGGATGCACTCTCTCTGATGGAAACCAAAATTGCCGGCAGTTGATTTCAACCGTTGAAATTTGTTTTGCAAAATATATATTTATATAGAG